CATACTGGCAATAATGTCCTGTTTAAAGTAAACCGTATAGCCGCATCCTACAAAACACAGAAACCCTGGATAATATTTAAAAAAAAACAAAAAAACAATACCCTGTGTTATCCAACAACCACAAGGCAATCTGGCCTATCCGTCGAAAATGAAATGTCATCTCTTAGGTCAAAGATTAGGGAGAAAAAAAAACAAGTTGAGAATAGACTCAATAGACTAACATTATAATTTGAGTCAAACATTTGCTTAGGGGAGAGTGTCGTCTTAAACTAACAACAAATTTGTCAAGTCTATCCTTCAATGCTGACACAGTTAAAAGAGGTTACAGTGATCTCCCTTGCCTCGAGACCACGTGACAAAATGTATAAATAGAACGATCGAGGTAACACTAACATATCCATGAAAGTTATGATGAAAGTACACTCAACTCAAAGAAAAATGTCGAAAATAAGTACAAAAATAATTCTAGGCGTCATAAAATTAGGAAAGATTTTTTAGTTTGAAATACAAGAATATTTTTTTAAAATACATGAAAAAATGCAGCACAAATGTAGATTAACCAAAAAATAACAAATTGCAAAGTAAACATTAACATCTTGCACTGTTAGAGTTAATTTCCTATATATTGGTGTTAAGTATTTAAAAAAAAAGTTTATTCTTGTGATCTCCCTTGGAATAGGACAAGGTTGGCCGTCTAAGAAGTCTGAAAATCGTTGTGCAAAAAAAAAAAAAAAAAAAAAAAAAAATAACATGCAAACGAACCTCCCCCACATTTCAAACATTTTTTATACCCCACCCAAGAATGTTACCACTCCCATTACCCTTCAAGTTCACCAAAAATGCCCGGCCTTTGATGTGTGTTTTGTAGCAAAAGAAATAAAACAAGTCTCTTTTTTTTAACTTTTTTTTTTCCATTGAGTCTTCAAGCCATATTTTATTACAAGGAGGCATTAACTAGCATTACAAATAAGGTACGCAAACTTAGACTTCAAATATAGATTAACATCTCTTTGGTCAGGGTAAAATACGTATGTACTGGAGTTAAATATTTGATGATTTTATTAAAAAGGTCAATTTATTGAGAATATCAATTACTATATAGATAAATATTCATGGAAGATCATAGGGAACACTAGACTAAAGAACGGGAAGAAGTGACCAGTCATGGGGAACAGGGCAAGACAAATGTACTGACTATATAGACACCAGTCATATGACTGACCAACTGGACACCAGTCATATGACTGACCAACTGGACACCAGTCATATGACTGACCAACTGGACACCAGTCATATGACTGACCAACTGGACACCAGTCATATGACTGACCAACTGGACACCAGTCATATGACTGACCATCTGGATACCAGTCATATGACTGATTATCTGGACACCAGTCATATGACTGACCACCTTGGCAACAGTCATATAACAGACCATCTGGACCAACACAATTGTCCTTTCATGAAACAATGTTTATATTTATTAATCAAAGGCACTGAAAACTCAAGAAGACAATATATGCTGTAAGCATCACAAAGCCTGGGATATGAGTACGCTACACGAGCATGGTGATAGGGGCCATTGATTGAGGGAAGGGTAGATATCTTACAACAGCTGGTGTGACACACGCTACAGGAACTGACCAGTAGGTGTGACACACGCTACAGGAACTGACCAGTAGGTGTGACACAAGCTAAACTAACCAGTAGGTGTGACACACGCTACAGGAACTGACCAGTCGGTGTGACACACATAACAGGAACTGACCAGTAGGTGTGACACAAGCTACAGGAACTGACCAGTAGGTGTGACACACGCTACAGGAACTGACCAGTCGGTGTGACACACATAACAGGAACTGACCAGTAGGTGTGACACACGCTACAAGAACTGACCAGTAGGTGTGACACACATAACAGGAACTGACCAGTATGTGTGACACACGCTACAAGAACTGACCAGTAGGTGTGACACACATAACAGGAACTGACCAGTATGTGTGACACACGCTACAGGAACTGACCAGTAGGTGTGACACACATAACAGGAACTGACCAGTATGTGTGACACACGCTACAAGAACTGACCAGTAGGTGTGACACACATAACAGGAACTGACCAGTATGTGTGACACACGCTACAAGAACTGACCAGTAGGTGTGACACACATAACAGGAACTGACCAGTATGTGTGACACACGCTACAGGAACTGACCAGTATGTGTGACACACGCTACAGGAACTGACCAGTAGGTGTGACACACGCTACAAGAACTGACCAGTAGGTGTGACACACATAACAGGAACTGACCAGTATGTGTGACACACGCTACAGGAACTGACCAGTAGGTGTGACACAAACTAAACTGACCAGTGGTGTTACACACATAACAGGAACTGACCAGTAAGTGTGACACAAGCTAAAATGACCAGTAGGTGTGACACATGCTACATAAAGTGACCAGTAGGTGTGACACACAAAACAGGAACAGATCAACATGGAGCCTTACAAACATAATATACTAGCATGAATAAATAAAACCAGTGCTAAAAATACATTTCCAGTGTTGCACCATCTCTGTACTTTGTGGTATACCATCATTATACAGGTGGGTGGATTTCAAAAACTAACATGATAGACACCAGCTGGTGCTACAGGTACAGCCTGCCCTGTGCAGCAGAGATGCACTGGATAGCAAGTTGCAGTCAAAGTTTGTAGGTGCATTTCTCTTCATTAATAACAATTAAACCATGTGAAGGGGGTACACAGGGAGAAGGGTGGCCGGAGATGCTACAGATTTAAAACAGAGCATGTTGTTTTTAAACTAGAAACATCAGTAGAGTACAGTAAACATTAAAAAAAAAGCTCTGTAGTGTATGGTTACCTATACCCATATGATTGGTTTTTTTAATCTGGATTAGAGATTTCTGATTTATATCTATTTATCTATCTATCTATCTATCTATCTATCTATCTATCTATCTATCTATCTATCTATCTATCTATCTATCTATCTATCTATCTATCTATCTATCTATCTCTATCTATCTATCTATCTATCTATCTATCTATCTATCTATCTATCTATCTATATATATATATATATATATATATATATATATATATATATATATATATATATATATATATATATATATATATATATATATATATATATATATATATATGTATATATATGAATGTATATATATATATGTATGTATATATATATATATATATATATATATATATATATATATATATATATATATATATATATATATATGTATATATATATGTATATATATATATGTATATATATATATATATGTATATATATATATATGTATATATATATATATATGTATATATATATATATATGTATATATATATATATATATGTATATATATATATATATATATGTATATATATATATATATATATGTATATATATATATATATATATATATATATATATATATATATATATATATATATATATATATATATATATATATATATATATATATATATATATATATATATATATATATATATATGCTAATATCCATACAAACCATAAACCTCAAATCAGTCTTCTTTACATGTACATGCCTAAATGAAGAAAAAAAATCTAGACTTTAAAGACTGCGTCTAGGCCTATACAAGATTGTGTCATTACCTAGGCTAACCATACCAATTATAAACAACTCTATCATCAGCTTTTATTTAGTACATTGGAGAAAACATTCAATGGCTCTTGCTGCTATGTACACACAAAATGTCATCACATACTTTAAGGGCAATAAATAGAACTAAAATTTGACAAATTACGGGGAGATAAATAAGACTAGATGAATGCTTGTAACACACCCAGCAGTTTTAACACAGTTGACCCATCTAACAAACATTACCTATACTGCTGTATAACTTGTACAACACCATATAACTGCACATAAACACCATTTTCCATTTTAACTGTATCTATATGGCCAAGTACAACTTACCAAACAGTATCATCCTTTGCTTGTTAGTTGTAAGTTTTATTAAACAAAAACATTTTTTTAAATTGCATCCAGCTTTAACATGAACAAAACTTATTTAACCATGAGACGACATTTCAATTTGAAAATCAATGTCTCAAAAATCTGGTACACAAAATTGTGGTACATAGAAAAATATTGCAATCATGATTAAAAAAAATGAATGAATTAACTTCCAATCCAATAAAGTATTCCTAACACTGTCAACAACAATTTAACTGAAATATTTCAACAGTATATATTGTATTGCTAATGACTTAATCCATTAATAACAAACAAGTAAACAAAAAACAAGTACATTTTGGTCACATTAAATTAAAGCATAAGCAGTTTATCAGTGACAAGAAAGAGTTATCTTCTGTACCCCTGAGTGTGATGTGTTCTAAGGGAAGAGAGTGAGGGTCATCCATAAGTGACAAAAAACTTCCAGGGGAGGGGTTCAGACTTCCAGGGGAGGGGTTTTGACTTCCTGGGGAGGGGTTCTGACTTCCTGGGGAGGGGTTCTGACTTCCGCAATGATGTTTACTAACGGGGTGGGGTAGGAGTTCAGTAGATTAAACAGTGTGATCCCACACTTATGCATTGTTATTCATTAATTTTTTAAAGATAAATTTACAAGTTATTAAACAGGGGAGGTAATAGGGTGACAGACATCATATTTGGCAGGGTGGGGGTGGCGGGGGTCTGACTTTAGTGAATTTGTGTGATGACAGGTCAGGTAAAATTCAGCAAAGAAAAATCATGTCATATATATGGGTGACCCCTAACAAAAAGTTCAAAGGCTAAGGGTAACCATCATAGCTAGGGAAAGAAATGTAACTACAGACAACAGTTTACCAAGAAATAAAATGTGAGTATCCATCAAGAAATATCATTTGATTAAACTAAGCCATTAGATACTTTCAAACAAACACTGATTTATTAATTTCTCAAATCCAGCCCATTATTACTAGCCATCACTTTTATTTTCTATTTTCAAATCCATCTCATTAAATCAACTTTGCTCTAATCCAATACAATGTAATAATTTCTAATCAAACACACAGTATCAATATTCTAATCCAACCCATCATATCAATTTTCTAATCCAACACATCATAGAAATTTACTCTAGTTCATCTCTGCATTTTGACTTCTCACATTACCACTTGAACGAGCCACTAGTGGAAAGACTTTGGAATAGAATACATAAAGTAACACACAGCCCAAAAGTACTGACACACCTAGGGGAAACCATTCCTTTTGCTTGAGCTGTGCCTTAGAACTGTGCAACACACAATTGGCATGGAATGTAAAACACACTAGAATCATTTACACATCCAAACAAAGCAGCCTTTAACACTTCATCAGGCAAATCTGGGTAACTTAGAAATCGGATTAAATCATACAAACCAAGTCTCAGGCACCAGAATGGCTAGATCCAGGAGAAAAGAACTCCACTAGCTTTTGTTTACTGATTGTGTCCCCTTGTTGCTCTAGAAAAGACCTGAGCTTGTCCACAAGGGCTATCTGTGCCTGGGTCTCCTCCAGCTGGGTCAGCAGGAATTCCTGACCCATCTTGGCATACAAGTTATCAGGCTGTGCCTGGCACTGCTCCGACAATGTCGGGTCAGTGTAGCACTGCAGCTTGTCCTGCACCAGCTTCTCCTTCTGCCTCAGCTCCTGCAGCAGGAGGGAGGACTGGAGGAGGTTGCGCTGGATGCAGGTCCTGGTGCAGACGTCAGCGGCTAGGTGCAGCTTGGTGTCCGGCGTGGAGTGCTGCAGGACAAACCTGATCAGGTTGACCAGGGACTTCTCTCTGCTCGCAGGGAACACAATGCTGTCAGACTTGCTGAGGGGAGAGACAACAATAGACTTAGTACTGTGTGGGAGAAACTGATCTACAGAGGAAAAGGTTTGGCTAGTTTGAATTAAAACACATTCTTATTTAAAAACTAGCCGTCCCGGCCAGGCCCTGCTCTGACTATAGTACCCCAACTTATTCATAGTCTTTTGCACTCACTTAAACGAACGCGCCTGTTTCAATTTAATGAACAATTTTAATACTCCAAGCTTATCCGTAAAATACCTACAACATTTGCACTTGATCAATCCCCGCTAATTATGTAATTATTTTTTTTTCCCAACACCAAAACAAAGTAATTAAAAAGTAAATTATTTTCCACAAAATGCAATGGTTTTATAAAGGGAAGTAATTTTGTTTTCCTAATTTATCAAAGGGAAGTAAGTGCTATAGGACTAAATAAAGACATAATTAGAATTTTTGTAAAAGATGATATTTTTTTAAAACTTGTGTTTAACGAACATGCCGACAATTATTACTATAATTTGAAAAATGAAAATTATTTCCCAACACTTTCAATAGTAATTTTTTAGCTCATAAATTTAGACAAATGCGCACGCTAATTTTCTAACACTTAAATTCATCCAAGACCAACGACAAACATATGCATTACATACAGAACTGAGCTTTATATATTAGATCTCTAGAAATAAATCATGATACACTGTAATTAAAAAATACAAAAAAGTAACAAGATGCATTTATAAAATTCAATTTATAACTCAAAAAATAAATAAATATCAGTTTAGGCACTAGTAGTTTGAACTACATTATATACAAGTTTTAATGCTTGATTCTTTACATAATTACATCTTAAAATATGTTGAAGATTAACTTGTAGCAAGAAAGAGATACCATTTAATAAGTTATTTGATTTAAAGAGTAATTAATAACAGGAGTAAACATAAAGTAGATTGGAGACAACTAAGCAGGAAGCAAAGATTTATAAAAATGTTGAAAACAGTTGGCTATCACCAACCAAGCAAGTATGAATCAATCTTAGCAAAGGGATATAAATAGTTTAATTAGTTCCCTTGCTAAACTTTTTCTTGGATATTTATGCATGTTGAAACTTAATACATGAAAATAGTCACAATCATGAGCAGATTTTTAAGTTATTTTACAAATAAATCCAACAAAAAGAATAAAACAATGAATAAAATACATATTTAAAAATTAAATACTGTTTTAGGTGTCAAAGAAATGTACTCTATGCAATGGTAGAAAATTTAGAGAAAAATAATTATATTTACTACAATGTCCATCATGATAATGGGTTAGTAGAAAAAAGTAGAACTAAAGAAACAAATTATTTAACATGGAACATAAGTGAAATGTTAACTTTAGATTTTATTGCATAGATAGTTAGTGCCACCGTGTATTGTTTATGTTTTGATATAAACAGCTTTTAAGAAGTGTTTTTTTCTCTCTAAAGCTTGTTAAATACAGACTAAAGCAATGGCTGACATCTGACTGTAAGACCATGATGAAAGATGGTAGCTAGCCACTGAGAATTACATTGGCCGTACACATTTGTATGACACATTACAATCTGTACAATGAAAAGGTTATTTTCTGAGTAACTCATGTTTAAATTTAAATTTTAAATTCTGTGCTGGGTGAATATCTTACCTCTTCTTCTTCCACAAAAATAAATCATAAGGCTCACTAAAATCAAAGCAGTTTAAAGGGGATATAGTGATATAACAAAAGACAGTATTTAAAAGCATTTTATTTTTACTGAGGGATTTAGAATTAATCTAATAATAATTTTTAAAATTAAGTAATGGAATTGCTGCATTAAGAATACATAAATTCTTCAGATTAAACAAGGATATACTAACCATTTATCAGAAATAATATTAAAGACAAAAAAAAATACACTTTTATTGTACTATTATTATTAAGACATTGCCTCAGAATTTAATATGTTTTAAGATATGAAAAATTACACTAATGTCTAAATAAAAGATTTAATGAGAAGGTTTGAAATGCTAACTTTTAAATTATAAGGAATATCATTTCATTTTAAACCAAACAAAAATCTATAAAGCTCCAATATGTGTTAATGACACTAAATAATCACCAACCACCAAAACCAACTGAAATGTTTCGATGTTTGTAAAACATCAACCCCTTGGAGTAAAACAAATACATAACATTTCGTTATTCTACATGAATTTTTTTTCTGCATTACAAAAAGTCTTGACATAGGTTTGTTTAAGTGAGAAGTAGCTTATGAGAAAAATTAAAACAAATCCTAACGAGCAGCAACTAGTCTACTAAAAATCAAAACAACTTACAGTTTGGCTGGGAAAAAAATGATGGTGGGATATGAATCAAATGTAAACTCCCAAGGGAGATCATTCAAAGCACCATTTATTCTGGGGATTAAATTAATTCAGCACATAGTAGCTAAAACAGACAACTATTTAAAGGAAAAAAAAACATTTTTAATGTTCAAACTACCCATTAAAAACTAAATAAACATTAATTTAAGATTAAATAATAAAAAAAAAGACAATCCATACCTGGCAAATTCAATGTGTTGGGAGGTAGAAAAATATTGAGCTAAAGTAAGGAATGTGTGGCTCAAAGTCTGGCAAAATCCACACCAATGGGAATAGATTAAAACAACAAGGTCCTGTAGAGTAGGTTTAAAAACAAACTTGACATCCATAACATTTATTACATAAAGTAACTGGAAATAATACTAACAGTAGTTAGCCCAACTCTCTACGGATAAACAACTTCAGGTGTGCTGTAGGTACTCACCTTATTGTTGGCCTCTCTCACAGAGGTAATGAAACCATCAGTCCAACTCACATAGACAACTCCCCCACACAGACAACTCCCTCACACATCTACTCATCTTATTGTTGGCCTCTCTCACAGAAGTAATGAAACCATCAGTCCAACTCACATAGACAACTCCCTCACACAGGCAATTCCCTCACACATCTACTCACCTTATTGTTGGCCTCTCTCACAGAGGTAATGAAACCATCAGTCCAACTCACACAGACAACTCCCCCACACAGACAACTCCCTCACACATCTACTCACCTTATTGTTGGCCTCTCTCACAGAGGTAATGAAACCATCAGTCCAACTTACACAGACAACTCCCCCACACAGACAACTCCCTCACACAGACAACTCCCTCACACAGGCAATTCCCTCACACATCTACTCACCTTATTGTTGGCCTCTCTCACAGAGGTAATGAAACCATCAGTCCAACTCACATAGACAACTCCCCCACACAGACAACTCCCTCACACAGGCAATTCCCTCACACATCTACTCACCTTATTGTTGGCCTCTCTCACAGAAGTAATGAAACCATCAGTCCAACTCACATAGACAACTCCCCCACACAGACAACTCCCCCACACAGACAACTCCCTCACACATCTACTCACCTTATTGTTGGCCTCTCTCACAGAAGTAATGAAACCATCAGTCCAACTCACATAGACAACTCCCCCACACAGACAACTCCCTCACACATCTACTCACCTTATTGTTGGCCTCTCTCACAGAAGTAATGAAACCATCAGTCCAACTCACATAGACAACTCCCCCACACAGACAACTCCCTCACACATCTACTCACCTTATTGTTGGCCTCTCTCACAGAAGTAATGAAATTATCAGTCCAACTCACATAGACAACTCCCTCACACAGGCAATTCCCTCACACATCTACTCACCTTATTGTTGGCCTCTCTCACAGAGGTAATGAAACCATCAGAGTCCAACTCACACAGACAACTCCCCCACACAGACAACTCCCTCACACAGGCAATTCCCTCACACATCTACTCACCTTATTGTTGGCCTCTCTCACAGAGGTAATGAAACCATCAGAGTCCAACTCACACAGACAACTCCCTCACACAGACAACTCCCTCACACAGCCGACTCCCTCACACAGACAACTCCCTCACACAGACAACTCCCTCACACAGACAAATCCCTCACACATCTACTCACCTTATTGTTGGCCTCTCTCACAGAGGTAATGAAACCATCAGAGTCCAACTCACACAGACAACTCCCCCACACAGACAACTCCCTCACACAGACAACTCCCTCACACAGACAACTCCCTCACACAGACAACTCCCTCACACAGACAACTCCCTCACACAGACAACTCCCTCACACAGACAACTCCCTCACACAGACAACTCCCTCACACAGACAACTCCCTCACACAGACAACTCCCTCACACAGGCAATTCCCTCACACAGACAACTCCCTCACACAGATAACTCCCTCACACATCTACTCACCTTATTGTTGGCCTCTCTCACAGAGGTAATGAAACCATCAGTCCAACTCACACAGACAACTCCCCCACACAGACAACTCCCTCACACATCTACTCATCTTATTGTTGGCCTCTCTCACAGAGGTAATGAAACCATCAGTCCAACTCACACAGACAACTCCCCCACACAGACAACTCCCTCACACATCTACTCATCTTATTGTTGGCCTCTCTCACAGAGGTAATGAAACCATCAGTCCAACTTACACAGACAACTCCCTCACACAGACAACTCCCTCACACAGACAACTCCCTCACACAGGCAATTCCCTCACACATCTACTCACCTTATTGTTGGCCTCTCTCACAGAAGTAATGAAACCATCAGTCCAACTCACACAGACAACTCCCCCACACAGACAACTCCCTCACACAGGCAATTCCCTCACACATCTACTCACCTTATTGTTGGCCTCTCTCACAGAAGTAATGAAACCATCAGTCCAACTCACACAGACAACTCCCCCACACAGACAACTCCCTCACACAGACAACTCCCCCACACAGACAACTCCCTCACACATCTACTCACCTTATTGTTGGCCTCTCTCACAGAGGTAATGAAACCATCAGTCCAACTCACACAGACAACTCCCCCACACAGACAACTCCCTCACACATCTACTCACCTTATTGTTGGCCTCTCTCACAGAGGTAATGAAACCATCAGTCCAACTCACACAGACAACTCCCTCACACAGACAACTCCCTCACACAGCCGACTCCCTCACACAGACAACTCCCTCACACAGACAACTCCCTCACACAGGCAATTCCCTCACACATCTACTCACCTTATTGTTGGCCTCTCTCACAGAGGTAATGAAACCATCAGTCCAACTCACATAGACAACTCCCCCACACAGACAACTCCCTCACACATCTACTCACCTTATTGTTGGCCTCTCTCACAGAGGTAATGAAACCATCAGTCCAACTCACATAGACAACTCCCCCACACAGACAACTCCCTCACACATCTACTCACCTTATTGTTGGCCTCTCTCACAGAGGTAATGAAACCATCAGAGTCCAACTCACATAGACAACTCCCTCACACAGACAACTCCCTCACACAGGCAATTCCCTCACACAGACAACTCCCTCACACAGACAACTCCCTCACACAGCCGACTCCCTCACACAGACAACTCCCTCACACAGCCGACTCCCTCACACAGACAACTCCCTCACACAGACAACTCCCTCACACAGCCGACTCCCTCACACAGACAACTCCCTCACACAGACAACTCCCTCACACAGCCGACTCCCTCACACAGACAACTCCCTCACACAGACAACTCCCTCACACAGACAACTCCCTCACACAGCCGACTCCCTCACACAGACAACTCCCTCACACAGACAACTCCCTCACACAGCCGACTCCCTCACACAGACAACTCCCTCACACAGACAACTCCCTCACACAGGCAATTCCCTCACACATCTACTCACCTTATTGTTGGCCTCTCTCACAGAGGTAATGAAACCATCAGAGTCCAACTCACACAGACAACTCCCTCACACAGACAACTCCCTCACACAGGCAATTCCCTCACACATCTACTCACCTTATTGTTGGCCTCTCTCACAGAGGTAATGAAACCATCAGAGTCCAACTCACATAGACAACTCCCCCACACAGACAACTCCCTCACACATCTACTCACCTTATTGTTGGCCTCTCTCACAGAGGTAATGAAACCATCAGAGTCCAACTCACACAGACAACTCCCTCACACAGACAACTCCCTCACACAGACAACTCCCTCACACAGCCGACTCCCTCACACAGACAACTCCCTCACACAGACAACTCCCTCACACAGGCAACTCCCTCACACATCTACTCACCTTATTGTTGGCCTCTCTCACAGAGGTAATGAAACCATCAGAGTCCAACTTACACAGACAACTCCCTTACACAGACAACTCCCTCACACAGGCAACTCCCTCACACAGGCAATTCCCTCACACATCTACTCACCTTATTGTTGGCCTCTCTCACAGAAGTAATGAAACCATCAGAGTCCAACTCACATAGACAACTCCCCCACACAGACAACTCCCTCACACATCTACTCACCTTATTGTTGGCCTCTCTCACAGAAGTAATGAAACCATCAGAGTCCAACTCACACAGACAACTCCCTCACACAGACAACTCCCTCACACAGATAACTCCCTCACACATCTACTCACCTTATTGTTGGCCTCTCTCACAGAGGTAATGAAACCATCAGAGTCCAACTCACACAGACAACTCCCCCACACAGACAACTCCCCCACACAGACAACTCCCTCACACAGACAACTCCCTCACACATCTACTCACCTTATTGTTGGCCTCTCTCACAGAGGTAATGAAACCATCAGAGTCCAACTCACACAGACAACTCCCCCACACAGACAACTCCCTCACACAGACAACTCCCTCACACATCTACTCACCTTATTGTTGGCCTCTCTCACAGAGGTAATGAAACCATCAGAGTCCAACTCACACAGACAACTCCCTCACACAGACAACTCCCTCACACAGACAACTCCCTCACACAGACAACTCCCCCACACAGACAACTCCCTCACACAGACAACTCCCTCACACAGACAACTCCCTCACACAGACAACTCCCTCACACAGACAACTCCCTCACACAGACAACTCCCTCACACAGACAACTCCCTCACACAGACAACTCCCTCACACAGACAACTCCCTCACACAGACAACTCCCTCACACAGACAACTCCCTCACACAGACAACTCCCTCACACAGACAACTCCCTCACACAGACAACTCCCTCACACAGACAACTCCCTCACACAGACAACTCCCTCACACAGACAACTCCCTCACACAGGCAATTCCCTCACACAGACAACTCCCTCACTCAGATAACTCCCTCACACATCTACTCACCTTATTGTTGGCCTCTCTCACAGAGGTAATGAAACCATCAGTCCAACTCACATAGACAACTCCCCCACACAGACAACTCCCTCACACATCTACTCACCTTATTGTTGGCCTCTCTCACAGAGGTAATGAAACCATCAGAGTCCAACTCACATAGACAACTCCCCCACACAGACAACTCCCTCACACATCTACTCACCTTATTGTTGGCCTCTCTCACAGAGGTAATGAAACCATCAGAGTCCAACTCACATAGACAACTCCCTCACACAGACAACTCCCTCACACAGACAACTCCCTCACACAGACAACTCCCTCACACAGACAACTCCCTCACACAGACAACTCCCACACACAGACAACTCCCCCACACAGACAACTCCCTCACACAGTCAACTCCCTCACACAGACAACTCCCTCACACAGACAACTCCCTCACACAGACAACTCCCTCACACAGACAACTCCCTCACACAGACAACTCCCTCACACAGGCAATTCCCTCACACAGACAACTCCCTCACACAGATAACTCCCTCACACATCTCTCACCTTATTGTTGGCCTCTCTCACAGAGGTAATGAAACCATCAGAGTCCAACTCACACAGACAACTCCCTCACACAGGCAATTCCCTCACACAGACAACTCCCTCACACAGATAACTCCCTCACACATCTCTCACCTTATTGTTGGCCTCTCTCACAGAGGTAATGAAACCATCAGAGTCCAACTTACACAGACAACTCCCTCACACAGATAACTCCCTCACACATCTCTCACCTTATTGTTGGCCTCTCTCACAGAGGTAATGAAACCATCAGTCCAACTTACACAGACAACTCCCTCACACAGACAACTCCCTCACACATCTACTCACCTTATTGTTGGCCTCTCTCACAGAAGTAATGAAACCATCAGTCCAACTTACACAGACAACTCCCTCACACAGACAACTCCCTCACACAGACAACTCCCTCACACATCTACTCACCTTATTGTTGGCCTCTCTCACAGAGGTAATGAAACCATCAGAGTCCAACTTACACAGACAACTCCCTCACACAGACAACTCCCTCACACAGACAACTCCCTCACACAGACAACTCCCTCACACAGACAACTCCCTCACACAGACAACTCCCTCACACAGACAACTCCCTCACACAGATAACTCCCTCACACATCTCTCACCTTATTGTTGGCCTCTCTCACAGAGGTAATGAAACCATCAGAGTCCAACTCTTTCACACAGACAACTCCAGGTGCGTCGCAGTTACTCTGCTGGAAGCTATGAGACTGTTTGTGGCGCTGCAATCTCCCATTCTCAAAATCCGAGATGAAAGACACTAAAGAGGTTTAAAAATGTATAACATAAGAGCAAATATTAAATAAAAGCAGTTTAAAATTAATGAAACACTTTAATATAACTGTGTGCTTGTTAGTATTTAAGAAAAACTTACTTGTATTGCTAAAAGAAAATAGTCCATTCATAATATAATGCTCTTCTTTCTGATAGGAAAAATAAAGAAAAGCAAAACAGAACAATTAGCCTAGATCTATATTTTAAAATAATACTATACTTCGATGGTTAAAACAATTTTTTTAAAATCTAAACAAAAGAATAGGAAAAACTTGTTCCAGTAAGGTAAAAAAAATATTTTCTAATTTCAATAATTTTTAACTGATTTTAAATTAAAAATTAATATACATGGTAATCAATGTCTCAACATAATGTTTGAAGGCCAAAAAAAACAAACCTGTATAATAATGCATTGTTAATCAGTAAAAGAAATAGTTAACAAACCTCTTTATCAAACAGAACAACAGTCGTTCTATTTGATGAAACTTCAGGGTTAATTCCCAAAGCATCAGAGAACATCCAACGATTTTTAGTATCAATTGCATAGAAGTGCAACGTTTTGTTACTGGTACACCCCAGGCGATGCAACTCTTCTACAGCCTGATCCAGATCTGCAGCGTCCTCTTCCTCTGGCCAATCATCTCTCAAATCCTGCTGCTTCTCCATGGATAGTTTATCACACAGCTGTCTCGGTATGTTTTCTAAATGTTGCCTCACATAACCGTCATTTGAATACCTGTGTATTGAGTCCCCACTCAAGTTATTTTTAACAAAAACTACCGTCTTATCTAGAATGTTGATGTTGCGTGTCCAGTGCTCTGATGGTGAGGACGTTTCTGATTTATTTCTATGATAGCAGCAGGAGCTGAGTCTGTGATCAAACCCGTAGTTAACTAGAATATTTCGGCAGCTTAAGCTAAAGGGTTGAGTAAATTTACTTATGGAAGATAAGTATAATGGAAGACTACATTTATTGCTATTTGATGTCAGACAAATATTGCAAACTTTTCCACTCGCCTGAAATGTAAAGGAAATAGGTTTGGTTTTAAAATAGAAATAAATATTACACCCAGATTTGTAATTAATTAAAAAAAAACCACAGTAAATTACGCAAATCACCGTCTATAAAATAGAAACAGAATAAGTTAGCTGTAGTTGTATCTGTATAAACTCAACAAACTTACACTAAATCTCTCTACAATGGCAGAAACACAGCAAGAGAAATAACTGGAATGGGGAGCTTGCTTTAGCTGCTCACAAACTTGCTTCAAGGAACGGTAACTCTCAATACTGCTGGAGACAACGCTGTTCCAGACGGAACGAACACTTCTAAATGCTGGGTCTAAATGACACTCTCTATAACGTAGGACAATATCTTTGAGCTATGGAGAAAACAGAATTTCAAAGTAAGTGAGTTCAGGCAATACGATTTAGAATCAGGGATAAAATACTCAATTGTTATAATCAGGATGAATGTTTAAGTTCAAAATAAAAACTTAAAAACTTTTAGCATAATAAGAAAATTTGGAAAAAGAGTAGTCATTGATTAAATTACACAAATAATCATTTAAGTTTTACCATATATGTTTAGGAAACTAAATTCATAACCATCAAAATTGCGAAAAAAAAAACTGATTCATAAAAATAATTAGCATATAAGATAAAATGATATATAGAATGCGTTGACTTTCTTTTTAAATTAAATTTTTTGAAAGTATTAATTAAACTATGTTAGACATAGTTTAAGGGGACTGGTGTAACTTGTACACCGATAATATAAAATACTAAATGTTTGTAGACTATTTCTGAAGCTTGACTTTAAAAATTCACTATAAATGTTTTAACCTAACTTGATCTAACTAACCCGTCTCTCACCACGCTATAACCATGCTCAATGTTAAACAGTGGGTTTTCTTTGTGGAACATGATGAACGCTGGACCCCTGTTGATCTCCTGTGACAGTGCCAGGCTTTTCATTCCTTCAGGGGATAATCTTTTTATCATCAGCTGAAAAATTACAGCACGTAATTGCTTTGTCCTAAAACAATATACTCGATTAGCCAAACTTATAGGCATGCAACATAATTATAAAAAGAAACATCCATAGTTAAGGAAAAATGTTACATGCAAGCTTAAGATTGCAATGAGCCCTATAACATTCTTTTTAGTGGAATTATTAGAATATGACAGAGAAATAGGATTCAATACCTTATGTTTATTTATTGTAAATTGCTATTTATGACACAAAGAAGGTGGAAGAGTCCCATACCATTCCTTTGTTTCCAAGTGCCCAGTTAAGTAAGTTTGTACTTGTAATATTTTTTCCATGAGGATACAACTGCATAAAAAGAAAAACAGAAATACTGTCTGAATCAATTTTAAGATTTAATACTCAGTGGGAAGTTTTTTACATGTAATTTTAAGAACAATATTTTTTAAACATATTTACATAGAGGATTGAAAAAATATTTATAAAACAAAAAGAAGTTGGTGTATATTACAAGTTTTTTTTATGGATAAAATATAATACTTACTAAAGATGTGTTTGCTATCCTCAGCATTATTATATCTTCATATTGCAATAAACCAAACTCAGCAGCCCAATTACATTTTGTAACAACTGCAAACTTCACAGGCTGGTAAGGATCTAAATATAATTGTACATATTTATAGTGAATTCAATGGCTGCCTGAACAAAAAAACTTTCAGTGTTTAGATCTAGGCCTTATTGAAATAAAATTAAAATTTTAAAAAATTTCTCTAATACTTACCTTTTTCTAAAATGCGCATGGAGGCATAATAAAATTGCTTATAAGAATCAATGCTGTCTGAAGTTGTGAGGCTAAAGCAACCAAGGACAACAGTCTGAAATATAAAATTTAAAATAGTTAAATATTTACTTTTGTGTAAGCCAGTAAATTATTTAAAATAAAATAGTGTATGTACAAAACTAATCCCTACTTCATGTTTAGCTAGGAGATCCAAAAGTTCCACTTTAGAATGTAACACAGAAAGGGGGTGAAGAAGTTCCTCTACAAACTTTATCAAGTGCTCAGCTCTTAATATGCCTAGAAGATAAAAATACATACTCTATATACTTCTCAAGTTCTACAAAAACTTACTATTTTCTTACCTCTTTTTAAGCAATGTCAAAGTAGATAGTAAAATTATAATTAATAATTCAACATATTCAGTTAAAATTGGTAACTATTTTTTTTTTAACATAAAATGATAAAACTAACCTAAATATCTATACCCGTCAAGTTTAGTATGATAGGCCATTAGAACTGGGAACATTAAAAACTTATAGCGTTTTCTACAGTCTCCTTCTGGCCACCAACAGTTTACAGCAGCAAATCTGACCTAAAGCAATAGAAGCAAAGGATTATGTATCAAAGGTGGCGCTACTTCCTTGAATGCATTAAAAAACAGGTTTAACTAAAACGTTTGGTACAGATTTGTATTGTAATGAAGGACAAAATGTCAATATTCTGGTAAACAGCTTTGTGAAGATGCTATATCTTTTTAACTCCACGTCAAATACTACTCAAACACATTTTTTTCAGTAAAAGTTCTTTGTAATATTTTACATCTTTGTAAAACGTCAATTCAAAGTACTAGAATGTTACTCCTATGTAATAACATAAAATACATGTAACATCTTTGTAGCACCAGTTAAATCTTTGTAACATGTTATTAATTTATTGTAAGTTATTATTGTAACTGAATTTTAAACTTTGTAATAAAAATGTCAACAGTGTAAAAGTCAAAAGATGCACTTTTGTAAAGCTTCTTACAAAAACATAACACATGACTTTAGTTTATATATGGAAGTGTAGTCTTGAGGGGAAAAAAATTCTTAAACCCAGTTTAAATAAGTATTAAGTATCTAGGCTTACCTTTCCTTTGAAAAATTTCGCTGCTTTGAGAAACTCTGCTTTTGCTGACTGTGATTTATAGCACCAAGGGGCATAGTACATGACAAAAACAAAGTCTTCAGAATTTAAAACTTGTATCAATGGAATGAGAGAGCCCCTTGGCGAATCCAAAACAAATGAGGAAGGTGGGAACAGATACTGGGGTTGTTTTGGGGGTAGGGTGACAGGTTTGGCCTTGAAGCTGCTTGAATAAACATAATATTAATAATCAAATTTTAATTTTCTTATTCAATACAATACATTAAATTTTAAATTAGGCATTAGGGCGGGCCTAGGCCTATCACCATCACTAGCCTATCAGTATCTATTTCTTTCTTTAAAAAAATCGTAGGCTAAATAGTTAGGGCCTAACTAAGTGATTGCAATTTTAGTAATATTCATGTTAACTTAAGATTACGTAAGATCTTTCGAAAAACTTAGGCCTAATTGTTGGTGTAGTAAAATATAATAAAAGAATTTAGTCTCATTCTGCATTCAATGGACACCAGCGAGAAAAGTCTCAAAAGTATTTGAGAGGTCCATAAATTAATTTAAAAATCATGCACAGCGTAGTTACAATTAATATGGTCATAAAATCCTGCCTGTCTGGTTTTTTTCGGACTTTACTAAAGATTGGATGTAGGCCTATTTGATGTTTTTAATATTTTCGGTAACTAAATAAAAATTAAAAAAAAAGCAAAAACAATTTGGTTTTCACATGTAATGGCGACATAAACAATGGCATCCTGCTATTGGATAGGCCGCCATAAATTTTATTGTACACATTGTAAGCTAAAAATAGAAAACTAGGTCATGGGGTTTTAAATTTGCATTGTTATTTAAAAACTTGATCTGCAAAGTTTTGTAAACAAATAGTTATCGATCACTAAGTTACTGTACAGTAGTGTACAGCCAATCAATATTTGTCTTGCGAAAGTGAAACATCCGGTTATAACTTAGGCTTGATGAAAATAAATAGAAATGTAGCCTTAAACTCAACAAATTATTTTCAAGTTCTCTGGATTTGCAACTTTTATAGCATTTATTAACATAATTCTAAAAATATAGATCTAGATCTAGGCCTAAAATTTCTAAATTAATTTTAGTTTTAGACTTAAGTTTTTATTTTTTTATTTTTTTTTTACGGTCTAAATCTAAAAAGCACGTTTTTATTCCATGTCAACAACATTATGGAAGGAATCTCGTCAACTCGCTGGTGTCCATTTCAATCAAAAATCAAAACGTAAATTTAAGTAAATTAGGCCCCAAGTAAATTTTAAAAAATAAAAAAACAACGAATGAACGAAGTCTTGCTTTATTATTTATATATTTCTAAAACAAAAATGAATACCTGGTTCCATACTTGGTTACCAAGATTAATACGGTTATGAAAAAGAGACATAATGTAGGATGCCGAGCCATTCCACGAAGAAACTCATTTGGCCTCTTTAAGTTAGTGAAAATTACACTTGTACCATGTTTTATTACTACATCCGCCATTGACAGACGCACACGTCAGTCATTTGTTGGTAGGTATATTCTAGACATGGGTACTTTTTACATTTGAAGAGTTCATGTTACTTTTTGGAATTTTCATATTAGAAGAGTAAAGAAGTTCCAAACCATATTTGAATAATTAGGCCTACATACTACATACTAGAAATCTACATGTTCGATTTATTTTTTAAAAATTCATAAAAAGCGTTTTATTTACAAGCTTTTAGATCTATGTAATAATGCACTAAAAGGAGAAAATAAAATGTTTTCTTTAAATATATAATAATACACTACTATTTAAATAATACTATAAAGAAAACCGTGGATCACTTTATAATCTACTAGCCGTCCCGGCCGATTGTAGGAAAAAGTGACAGAAAAAAAAAGAAAAAAAGTGACAGGAAAAATAGTCACAAATAACTATTTGTATGGAATTTAATACTTTTATGTATTGAATATTCAGAAAAGGCAAATCAACTTACGATTCAAATGTAATGTAAAGATTTTAGATATATATGCGTATGTTGTATAGGACTAGGTATATATGACACACGTAAAAATATTTACTATAGGCTAATTTATGGATATTTTATTTAATTCCGTTATACTTATAACATGTAATAGAATGTTCCAACTTTTTCGGTTTTCATCGTGTTTTTTAAATACAAAATTTTAATTAGCGTGAAACGGCGTAGAGGCGTAGTTAATGTAACTTGCTGTCCTCAACTCATAGCAACAATAGTTCACAACCACCTTTTGTGTCACATTTATCATGCTCATTACATAACAAAGCATGGGATCAAAACAGAAAGCCGACACGGTTCAAAGGCTGTAATTGACGCGAAACGTCAACAGCACACAATATATGGACAGACAAGGCCGACTAAGGAAAAGCCAACCAAGGAAAAGCCTACGACAAAAAAACATGCTGAACACAATGATGTGCCTACATTTCTTATATAGTAATTTTTTCTAATGCGTATTCAACTAAATACGTAACCAAAGTGGAGATGTGCAAAATATTTTATAGTATTTTTACTTATTGTTATAAACCAGTGGTTCCCAAACTTTTTCGAGTGGCGACCCCTTTTTATAAAAAAAAAGTAAGTGACCCGCGATCCCCATAGAATTAAAAAGTCAAAATTAGTAAGGAAATTAATAAGCACTTAAATAAGATTTTCTAGTAGACTTTCAATTTGAATTATTCTTGATCACTGTTTTAATACAATGAGTAAAATTGCATGCTATTAACTAACATCTGAGGTTGAGTTGTTGTTTTTTAACGCTAACCACATGTCATTGTCAACATTTAATTTATTTCTTTGTTTTGTTTTTAATTGGAGAAGTGTTGAAAATCTACTCTCGCAGAAATAAGTAGACACAAAAGGAACTAAAACTCGAAAGGCAATCAATGACACGTTTGTGTATGAATGGTGCATACTACACTAAAACTGTGTGGCAATGTGTAAGCACTTTTTCATTTGACGCGGAATCATTTCGCAAATCCAAGATTTCATCTTTTAATTCATCGGGAATGCTGGCAACATAAAGGGAAGCAGAAAGTGGGTTACGCCTTAATGCGGATTATTTTTCTTTAAGCTCAGGGAAAATAGCGCCGCAATTCGTTTTCAAGAGATTCAAGATGCCCAGAAATCTCTTATTTCACAAAGACAAGCAGCTGCGAACACGAACTCGTATGTTGATTTATTAACTTGAAAAGCAAACAATGGTGAAAGCTTGATTTCATTCAAAATTTGTTCTTAAACATCTACGGACATTTCTGCTATAAGCCTCTGAATATTATAATTAGACAGATATTAATTGCATCGAAGCATTGTATGCGTAGGTAGCATATCTAGAAGATCAAAACAATTGGTCCAGTGGTGGACCGGTAATTAACTAAAATGTAGCATTGTCGGGTTTAATTGACCCACCTTGTAGGGATTAATTACAAAAACCATAAATGTTTGCACCCCCCCCCCCCCTCACCGCAGGACTATTTTTCTGAATAGCGGTGCCTTTCCCGGCAATTAATTCAAATAAATGCTATGTTCCAACTACTACTACTACTACTACTACTGCTGTTACTACTACTACTACTACACACACACAAACACATGCACACACAGACACCTCACAGATAATGCGTGGGCTGGTATGAATAAAATTGCCAACAACTATATTTTTATGGACAACATTATGTCATGTATTATGTCGACTCGGGATTCAGACAGAGGTTATCTTCTGTAACTTGTAACAGTTAGGCCTACTCATGATTGAGCACTGGTAGAGCCATGTTTTTTTTTTTTTGTCGGCGGAGTGATAGAGTGCTGTCTGTCGACATATCCAAGTTGCCAAGTTGGTCATCTAACTGTTATGGTGTGTGATAGAAAAATTAATGCTGTCTTTAAAAGGTCTGACAAAGCTCGTAGTCTGCTTTGGATTCTAAAGATATTACTAAACGTTTGTAACTCGGCATGATCTACCGCTGATTATATTTATTATTCTTTTTGAATAACATTTAACTTTAAATGAACAGCATTCTATGGGTGCCTGCATTTTAGCGTTTAAAAAAATAATTAACTTGCCATGTTCGATAATCATAAAGCCTACTGTGTTGTATGCACGATCTGATTAAAAGAAACCATCTACAGATGCACATAGTAATTCTATGCAAATATGAGAAATGGGGATTGGACTGAATACAAATACAGAAAAATAACATTCAAACACAACTTCAATTAAGTGCTTTAATATGGTGCACCGTCAAAACGGCCCGTGAAAAAGACGGACCTGACAAAACGGCCCCGACAAATCGGACCCCGACAAAATAACCTAGTCAAAATAGCCCCGACATATTGGCTCCTGTCATACTGACTCGAGACTAAAATTATATCTATCTAGATATATAAAAATCAATGTGTATGTGTATCTGGCTGTCTGACTTTTATGCATTACTACACCTCTCATCCGAGCGCCATGAAACTTTGGGAAATTGTTGAGAATTGAGGGTGGTGCATCGTCTGGCGCGATTTGTTTTTTTTCTCTATATACGGTATATAAAATTAAAAGTCGATTGCTGTTTGACACCGTTTATCCAATCGCCATCAAACTCTGGTGAGTTTATGAGAACAGTCCAGGTGAGGTTTCTTTAAAATAATCTTTTTTAATTTCTCAAGGGCGGCGCCCCGGGAGGGTGCGATTTTTCTCTATATACGGTATACTAGCATACTGCCTAGCTTCGCTTAGGGGTCATCTATAAATGACGTCACGCTTTTTTTGTCAATTTTTACCTCCCCCTCCCCTCCGTCACACATCGTCACAAAAAGCCAGACCCCCCCCCCTAAAATGACGTCACACCTCAGTCTACAACCCCCTCAAAATTGCAGTTGAATTTTTCTTAAAACATCGATATTTTTCGGAAATCTTGTCTGAACTCTGTCAATAAAATACTTAAAAAAAACTTTTTAAAAAACCACGTTTTTCTTGTGGACTAAAAAGTAGAAAATAACTATTTACATACATTTGATGACAAAAAACGTGGGTACGTTCACCATCAAATTTCCCGACCCATCTGCCCGACCCACGTTTTTTGTCATCAAATGTATGTAAATAGTTTTTTTCTACTTTTTAGTCCACAAGAAAAACGTGGTTTTTTAAAAAGTTTTTTTTAAGTATTTTATTTTCTCCTTTTTAGTCCGTTGCTACACATGAAAAACGTGGTTTTTAAAAAAGTTTTTTATATAGTTTATTTTCTACTTTATCTAATGACTTGATTAAGTATGAATTGATTCAGTATGAATCTTGAGCGACCAGGATTCGAACCTGGGTTGTCGCGGCCACAACGCGAAGTACTAACCACTATACGATCACGGCCAGCGCGCTCACATCGATTGGGGCCGAAGTAACTGTGTCTATAGGCCTCCAGTCTTGTCGGTATCTTTAGAAATCATGTCCTCAATTTTATGGTCCTTGGGGCGTAATTAAATTAAGCTAATTACGGTCTCTAATTGCTAGTTTTTATGATTGCATCTGAAATTGTTAGGCGAAAGTAACCTGCATGCCAAATTTCAGAACTATAGAACAATCAGAAGTGGGCTAATTTTCGATGTCAATTTTAACAACAAACACATCCACGCGAAGCTGAGTTAATAAAAACGTGTTAAAAAACGTGTTAATAAAATACAGTATTTTAATCAATTCCTATTAAAACAGATTTTTAAAACGCGAAATAACGTCTAAAATTCGTTTTCTAACATTGCTTTTTACTTTCTCGTATATACGAAGTATAGAGAAAGTATTGTAATCGTGCAAAAAAAAATCGAGATTTTTTACAAATCAGGACGTTTTACACCTCACTGATACGGAAAAACATAATTTTGCAATCTTGTCCGTATGTCTGTGTGTCTTTGTGTAAACACGATTACTGAGTACAGTTACAGCTAGGTTGATGAAATTTCATATATAAGTATTTTATCCAAATCGTATATCCGTATCAACTTTTGAGCGATTTCCGATAACCGGAAGTTGTACTTTTTCTACTTTGAATTTTTCAAAAGCCTATAACTTGAGTACTATTTCAGATAGATAAATGAAATTTCACATGTAAGTAAAAGATCTAATTCTCTACCTTCTGGCAAATTTTGAGTAATTTCCGCTGACCAGAAGTACTAATTTACGCTATTTACGATTTCTCAAAAAACGCACGTAAATTTATAAAGTACTAATAATATCCCGCACTATTAAGCACATTTTATTAGGCGTTCACTTAGTGTGCAATTCTTTTTTTTTACGAGATTCCATTCTATTATAAAAAGTTTAAGTAATTGAAAATGGATTACAAATATTGTCTATGTCCTGAGTTGCCATCCCTCGTTGTTTTATATTAGAATATCCGAGAAAGTTTAGGGGAGATCACTCCCGGTTTATTTATAATGCAAAAGTGTGACGTCGCACGATTTGACCCCCCCCCCCCCTCCCCCTCATCACACACCGTCACAAAATTACGACCCCCTCCCC